AAATTTTTTTGTCACTCCTCCTTCAGTTTGAACACAAGTAACAACTCTAGTATACATATCTTTAATGACTTGAAAATAAGTCATATCAACACATTTCTTCTCGAGAACTCTCCAAAGGATATCTCTTGGAACCTTCGTAAGCTTTTTCTAAATCAATAAAAATCAAATATAGATTCTCCTTATTATCTATGAACTTCTCCATCAAACTTCTCAATAAATGTATAGCTTCCATAGTAGACCTGCCTGACATAAATCCAAATTGATTATGAGAAATTTTTGTGATATTTCTTAACCTATGTTCAATCACCCTCTCCCATAATTTTAAAGTATGACACATCAACTTAATTCCTCTATAATTTGCACACTCTTGTGCAACCCCTTTATTCTTAAAAATGGGGACCAAAATACTCTTCCTCCACTCCTTAGACATCTTTTTAGTTTTTAAAATAATATTAAAGAGTTTAGTAAGACAAAAAACTCCCAAATCTCCCAAATATTTTCACACTTCAATTGGGATATCATCAGGTCCTACAGACTTTCCACACTTGGTTTTCTTTAAAGCCTCCTCAACTTCTTTTTTGTTAATGCGACGATAAAAATAAAACGTTTTAGTATATTATTATTCACGATATTAAGATCACTAAGTTCGCTCGTATTTTTAGAAACTTCATTAAAAAGTATATCAAAGTAACTCACCCACTTATGTTGAATATCTTTTTTTAAGAAAAGTATTTTTTGATTTTCATCTTTAATACACTTTACTTGAGTTGAATCGTTACTTTTCTTTTCTCTTTGTTTGGCTAGTTTATACATATATTTTTCACCCTCCTTAGTATCTAATCTATTATAAAGATCATTAAAAGCAGAACTTTTAGCGTCACAGATTGTTCTTTTAGACTCCCTATGGGCCATTTGATATTTTTTCCAGTTCTCTAAGCTTTTACATTTGAACCAATTTTTATAACATAACTTCTTACATTTTATCTTTTCTTGCACATTATTATTCCACCACAAACTATTTTTATTTATAAAAGTTTTTTCTTTTAATTCTCCAAGCACATCTTTTGCTACTTGTTTAATAGTGTTTATTACTTTATCCCACATAACATTTGCTTCTTCATGAATATCCCAAATTTTGAAATCTTGAATTTTACTCATAAAAATAATTTTATTTGTGTCTTTTAAGTTTTTCCATCTAATTCTACGATGATGAGTCCTAGTATTTTTTATTTTACAACTCTTAATATTAAAATGCAAAACTAATAAATGATGTTGGGTACTTAAATTTTCACTCGTAATGGCCTTACAATCTTTACAATCGTGACGATCTCTTCTTCTCATAAGAAAATAATCAATTTGTGTTTTATTAGATCCACTCTTATAAGTAATAAGATGTTCATCTCCTTTCTTGAATAAAGTATTTGTAATAACAAAATCATACGCTAAAGCAAAATATAAAATAGCTCTACCTTCTTCATTAGTTACTCCAAAACCGTAGCCACCATGAATATTTCTGAAATCTTCTACCACTCAACCGACATGTCCATTTAAATCACCTCCAATAAAAATTCTTTCTTCAAGAGGTATCATTTGTATTAAGTTTTCTAAGTCATTCCAAAATTTATCTTTAGACCCTGTATCTAAACCTACTTGAGGAGCATAAATAATTATAATATTAAAAATCTTAGTATCAATGATAATCTTAAGGGCTATAATTCTATCACCAACTCTATTAATTTTTACAACATTATCTTTCAATCTCTTATCTATAATTACACCTACACCATTTCTAGTGCGACTCTTACCAGAATACCAAAGTTTAAAACCTAAATTATCAATCTACTTAGCCTTTTCTCCAACCCACTTAGTTTCTTGAATACATAAGATATTAATTTTCCTATGAATCATAATATCAACTAATTTCATTAATTTATCATTGGGAGTACCTATATTCTAAGATCATATCATAATATTAGTTTCATTAGCTTCATGGACTAACTTCATCCGTCTGTAATGTGGGAACTTATATTCGTCCGTAATGTGGGAACCCTTGCTTATTTAACACTACACCCGGGCGCCGGTGTAGCGGCCCTTGCACACTTTTCACTGTATTCAGGCTATACAGCGCGTCGTTTCCAGGGGACGCCCTAACACTTACAAAATGATCAAAAGGATTCATGTCATGATTTTTTTTCGACAAGTTTTACGCTGGATGTCGACTTCCTAACGTTTCTTAATAAAATGTAATATTAAGTGGTAAGATATGATTAATAAAATAAATATTTTGACTCATTAAAGTTTCTTAATAAAATGCAAAGATAAAAACATCAAAATTGCTCTAAATTTTGAATATTAGTTTGGGTCTAATAAAAAAATTCAGTACTATTAATTGTTATGTTTCACATTTGATTTATATTCAAGTTTCTTTTTTATTCCTAAACATTTGAAAAAAAAGTTATAAAATAAAATGATCAAGAATGGGGCTCAATTAACAACATGCATAAAATTTGGCATAGGCCCTTCAAAGAATTTCTTGGGGTTTAGGGTTTGAGGTTTAGGGTTTAGGGTCTTAGGGTTTGGGGTTTAGGGTTTAGGGTCTTAGGGTTTGGGGTTTAGGGTTTAGGGTCTTAGGGTTTGGGGTTTAGGGTTTAGGGTCTTAGGGTTTGGGGTTTAGGGTTTAGGGTTTTAGGGTTTTAAGGTTTTAGGGTTTAGGGTTTAGGGTTTAGGGGTTAGGGGTTAGGGTTTTTAGGGGTTAGGGTTTAGGGTTTAGGGTTTAGGGCTTTTAGGGCTAAGAGTTTAATGTTTAGGGTTTAGGGGTTCAAGGACCCTAAATCCTTAAACCCCAAATTTTAAACCCCAAACCCCAAAACATAAACCCCAAAGCCCAAACCCCAAACCCCAAACCCCAAACCATAAACCCCAAACCCTAAACCACTAAACCTTAAATCCTAAACCCTAAACCTCAATCCTTAACCCTAAACCCCAAACCCTAAACACTAAACCCTAAACCCTAAAACTTTAAAATATGCTAAACCTCAAACCTCAAACCGAAAACCCTAAACCCTAAATAACCCAAACCCAAAACCCTAAATCCTAAACCCTAAGCCTAAAACCCTAAACCCTAAATCCTAAAACCCAAATCTCAAAACCATAAAAACTTAAACTTTGAAACTCAAACATTGAAACCCTAAACCCTAAACCCTAAACGCTAAACCTACACCTTAAACCCTAAACCCTAAAACTTAAACACTAAACCTAGAACCCAAAACATAAAACCCTATAGACCCAAAACCCTGAACCCATCGTGGCTAGTTCACTGACCTTACTTCCATAGAGACAGTTGTCTTTTCTGGTTATTTGATCGAGGTGATGCAGTTCAATATGATGAATTTTGTCTTGGCGGGCATGACTTATTCTGAGTTGTGTGAAGATTCAACCAAATGCAACACCTTGGACCTCTCCGTGTCTTAATAACAGGCAAAGGATTTGACACATGAGGATAAGAAAAGGAAGGCCGCCAGTTAGATTATGGTCGAGGTATCTGAAAGAAAAAAAGCAAGTCGAACTGGAGCTCCTCAGTGCCACTTCGCAGGCAACCAATATTCGCTATTGTTCTTCAGTTATTCCTTTCTCACTAGGATCATTGTGCTCCTCTTTTTGTTGAAAACATGACTCTACACTCACTACACCTTTTAGGATATTGGATCTAAACGTGTCTGGGAGATACACCCAAGGGATTGAGCACGAGAGAGAGAGAGAGAGAGAGAGCAGTGTTGAATAGTAAGATTGCACACCCTTTATAAAATGGAACCTTATTTATAAGAATGGGTCATTATAAACATATATACTGTACCCCTAAGGTTTGTAGAAACAACGGGGTTGTTCATTCTACTTATAAATATTGCCCCTTGGGTCACATGAATATGACCGACTGACAATTGGATCGGTCAACTATTATGTTGGGTGGCTATTAAGTCAAGTGGTAGTGAGGTTGGGCGCTTGTCAGGGTGGCTACTCGTTGAGGGTTCACGCCAGCCGTCTCAGAACTGGAGGAGGTGTTTACACGTCTTTGGTCTGTCCGGTCTGGTGGAGCAGGTTCATCCTATTGCATTTGACAGTGGAATTCTTCAGGGGATGATCTGCCTTCATATACATTTGAGATGCATTATCTTCTTGAGATGCTGGGGGTTGGTCGACTGAGTTTATGGTCTTGGATCGTCCTTGGTAGGTTTAGCGAGGCTACGCCATCACTTCCGCCATTCGTGCAATGTTTTTGCGATTAATGCTGACACTTTTTTGATATGCTAATATCAAGTGAATAGAAGCAAGTTGAAACCTCTAAAGCTTATCCTGATTAAATTTCTTGAGCTTATAAAGTGGGTTAGTCATCCCATCAAACTAGTGCATAAGAGGTAGATTTCTTATGTATTTTTCCTAGGCTAAGATAAAGCTTATGGATCATCTTAAAAGTTGAAAACCAACTCTACCTAAAGTAACACCTTCCTTCATTAGCCACTCTATATCATTGAATAGTAAATGTACATACCACTTGTTATTTAATCTTAATACCTCAAATAAAAATAAAATCCAAAATTATCTGTAATAAAATTTTGAAACTTTATATTTAACCTTATGGTGCTAGATAATGGGGCTTATTAAGACTTTAGTCTATTGATATTTTGAAAGGAAGAATTATCAATGTCTAATTAATGATCATAATGCATTAATTGATAATTTGAGCCCATTTTATCCACTAACTTATGACTTAAGTCTTATATTTTATGATGAAATATGGAATTTTAATTAAGATTAATCAATTCCTATTTTTTTAAATTGATATATTAAAAAAATAAATAAAATGCCCTATTCCAAACATGACCCTTCTAAAATTTAGAAAATACATAAGCTTATTATTATAAACCCAAAAATTATGGCATTAATTCCTAAACTTAATTAACATCTAATGAGTTTTTTCTCACATTTGGTTAAGTTTATAGACCCTAAGTTGCTTTGATCACTTTCAAGTCTTCTTACCTACTTTTAAAAAATATTAAAAATCATTAATAATGATTTATGTAACTTTCATTTAAGCATCTTAAAACAAATCAAGAACAGTTAAGTGATTCTAGTGTTTTGTTAAAAACATAATTCACTTGATTCTTTTTCAAGAATATGCTAGAAAGTCGTGATAATCATTAAAATAACTAGTATAATGGCTTTAAAGTAATTTAAGGCCAATCTTACCCTTTGCTAATGATTATAAGTTTATAACTCCATGGGGTATTTTAGGACTACTATATATATATATATATATATATGTAGTATATGCTCAATTTTAATGATTTTTAATGATTATATATTAGTTTTTTTCTTTATATCTCTCATGTATTTTTTTTTTTATTTTCTCTTTTTGAAACTTTTTGATGTGGTGGTTATCGTGTGAGCAGGGTGTCATGTTTGGGCCCTCCCAAACAATCTATCTGTATACTACTTTCTATTTAATATAATAACCTTTCTCTCTCTCTCTCTCTCTCTCTCTCTCTCTCTCTCTATATATATATATTTTAAAATTTTTTATAAGAAATGTATTAATTATAAAAGAAATACTTGACTAATCCATAACATTATTTTTATTTATTAAATATACTTAGATTTTAGTTGATTTAATAAGTTGTTTGTCAGACTAAAAACGAGTTTATTCATGAGCATAAATAAGATATCTTCAAATTTCATTTATTTAATCTTCTAGTTTTTAAGAAACATTTAAATGTTATTTTCTAAATTGAACAAATATTAATCAAGTTGAGTTCGATTTAAATGTTGAGGGGCAATGGTTTATTTTCAATCCTACTTATATTTAAAAATAAACATCTAATCAAGCTATGCGGCACATGACTAAGTAGAGGTGAGTATTTGGTTGATTCGAATAGAGTCATTTTCAAATTGGCCAAATCAATGATAATTGAAATACAAAATTCAAAAAACCGAATCAATCAAAATTTCAATGAAACCTTGAACAAAAGTTTAACAGTTAAATGATGAATAAATCAAAATTTAATTGTTAGTTATCATTTAATTTCATAATCTTTCATTCATATTCAAAGTTTTCGATTTTTAGATTTGTTCTGTTAAATAAAAATTAAAATTCAACTAAAAATTTAGAAATAATAAAAAGTATTTTTGAAACCGAATGTATTCTACCCAACTTTTTCAGTTTTAATCAAATAATATACGTGTTTACGTGACAAAAATATGCAAGTTATATTCGGACAACGGACATTAAGTACGAAGAGACCGATTTTTATTTTCACTATATATTTTTTTCACTATATATTTTTTTGACATCTGGCCTGGAAACTCCTCGATCCCAAGCCTCGCGGAAAGCCACAGCTCACCTTAACCAGGACCGATCCACAAGCACCGTAACTCATCCCACCGCACACCCCCACGGGAAGCACGGCGTACATCCACCGTACTATGCGCAACGTGTACAAATACTAGCCGTAGCTTCTGGCTATACTTGTCCCCACCTATTTATTCCCATTCCCCACCCCAACCCTTTTTAAGCCTTCTGCTGAATCTCCAACCATCGAATATATAAAATAATCTAATTTAAATTTAAATTTAAATTTAAAATAAATTAATAAATAAATAAAATAAAACCAAATTTAATCAATACGCACCTGATATGCTATAATTATTTCATACGGATACCGCATGCAGAAACGTATGATGTGTTCGATTTACACCGTTAATCAAAAATATATTAAAAAAAAATTAAAAATATGGCACACCGAAATACATCTTTACTGTAATCGACGGTATAGATCGACGCCGCGTGCATCTCTATATGCAGTGCGATGTCCGTATGAAATAATTTTTCACCTCGAGATTGCCGGAATTTGATCGGTCTAAATATTCTTAATATATATAAAGCAATAAAAATTAATTGTTTATGGACAGTCAAATCCCCGATAATCCCGAGAAAGGTTGAAATTAAAGTAATTGGAAATACGCTGATGAATTAAAAAGATTTGATTAATAAATTAAAAAAAAAACAAATTTACAGATTGGTCTACAATATTCCTCTAGGGTTACGGCCGTAATAAGAGAGATACCACTTGACAAACTTCTTGATTCCCGCCTCAAGATTCGTGCTCGGCCTGTAACCTAGCTCGACCATGGCGACCGTGATGTTCGCGTGGGTAAAGGGCACGTCGCCATTTGCCGGCATCTCGATTACGTTCTTCTTCGCCTTCACATTGAGGTTTCGTTCAAGAATCGATACTAAGGTCGGCACCGTCACCGGCGACGTGTTGCCGAGGTTGATGATCCGGTATGTCGCCGGACCGCGCTTCTTTCCGCCGGTTCCGGTAGATTTTCCGGCGGTATCGAGGGAGGAGATGCAGCCGCGCACAATGTCGTCGATGTAGGTGAAATCGCGTGCGAGATTGACGCCATCGGGGCCTCGGTAGATGGTAATGGGTTTGCCGGCGAGGATGGATTTGGTGAAGAAGAAGTAAGCCATGTCAGGGCGGCCCCAGGGGCCGTAGACTGTAAAGAACCGAAGGGCGGTGATGGAGATGCCGTAGATGTGGTTGTAAGCGTGGGTGATTTCCTCGCCGGCTTTCTTCGTGGCGGCGTAGAGGGAGGCGGGGCGATCGGTGGAGTGGGATTCGGAGAAGGGGATGTTGTGGTTGAGACCATAGACGGAGGAGGAAGAAGCCCAGATGAAGGAGGGTTGGGGGTTGGCGGATTTGATTGATTCGAGGAGGGAGACGAGACCGGCGATGTTGGAGTGGATGTAGGAAGAGGGGTTTTGAATGGCGTAACGAACGCCAGCCTGAGCGGCGAGGTGGAGTATGTGGGAGAAGGAGATCATGCGGAAGAGATTGGAGAGGAGGAGGTGGTCGGTGATATCGCCGTCGATGATGAAGATGGAGTGCTTGGAAAGTAGGGATTGGCGAGCTTTCTTGAGGGAGGGATCGTAGTATGAGTTGAAATTGTCTAGGCCGACGACGCCATCACCGCGTTTGCGGAGGGCGAGGGAGCAGTGGGAGCCGATGAAGCCGGCGGCTCCGGTGACGAGGACGGTGAGGCCGGATGGGCGGCGGGGGGTGGCGGAGGAGCGCACCTGGAGTTGCCAGTGGAGGTCGGACCAGGAGGTGGGGGAGGAGGAGAGGGGTTGGAAGGAGAAATAGGAGGCGGTGAGGAGGAGGAAGAAGATCCAGATGAAGAAGGTGGTTGAGCAGGCGAAGCAGCGGTGGTACAGCCGGTGGATATGGTGGCCGCGTTCCATTTTGAACTTACCGGGAGTGGACGGGAACATGCCCTCCTCCATTAGAGGCCGCATTTGTTGGTATTTAATTATTTCGACTGAATTTGGAATTGGGAATTGGCGGAAGAGAAGAAGAAGCAGAGCAGGCGAATGGAATTTTGAGCCTGCGTCTGCTAAGTGTGAATGGTGGTGGAGAAGGGATATTTATAGGAGGGGAGTTTGGGAGGAAGGAGGAGGGAGGACAGACAAACGCGTGGACGGGGATGGCATATCGGATCCTCTTTCTCTCTCTACAGCATACAGGTGGGTGGAACTAAGTCGTTTTTTAAAGAAAATATTAGGTTATTGAGGCTTAGTCCAAATTTATAAATTAAGAAAATTAGTTAAATATTTTAAAAATAAATAAATTAATAAATTAATAAATA